AATAATAATAATAATAATAATAATAATAATAATAATAATAATAATAATAATAATAATAATAATAATAATGGTAATAACAATAATAGTAATAATAATAATAACGATAATAATAATAACAATAAATTTCCTTAAATAATACCATGTTATTATCCAACTAACCATACATAAATTCAGTTGCATACCTCTCATTTTAAAAATATTTTCCCAATGACTTAAAGAAAAGCCATTTTATTCACTTTTTTTTATCGAATCGTAAATTATTATATTATTTTCAAAAATTGCAACTCGTTTTACATCATTTTCATCAAAAAATTATATGCATTTTCTTTCTCTCATCAGTAATTTAGTGTAAATTTAAAAAAAAAAAAGTAAAATTAAATTGTTAGAATTCCAGTTTTACATTGTTCCATTTCGATTTTTGCAAAAAAAAAGATGCAAATTACATTTTGCTATACTTTTATGCAATTTAATTTCTTTTTTCTTTCATTTTAGGCTTATACCGTATGATATTTATTTCGAGAAATTAATCGTTTTATAAATATATCTTATCGTTTTCATTTAAAAAAAATTTAAGTCGGAAAATTGTTGAAAAATTGAAATTATTATTGCTATTATTATTTATTATTGCTTTTAATGTAACAATTATAGTAATTTTAAATAAAAATTTAACTCAATCTAACTCAATCTAACTCAAGTTTTTGAGTTAAAAGTTTCTAAAAAGTTGTAAATTATTATTAAATTTGTTAAATAACATATGGCTTTAATAACAAATTAAGAAAAAGGACGAAGTTAGAGGACCAAAAAAAAAGTGAAATGGAATGGTTTAAGTAAAAAAAAAAGAAAAGGAAATAATGTGAAGGACAATTTTTTTTCTCCAATAGTAATTATTGATATAAATAGAGGAAAACATAGTAACTTAAGTATAATTAGCATTTTACATAAAAGATAAAGTACAAAGTATAATTGTAATTATTTTCTCTAAAAATAGTTAAAAAAAAAGGAAAAGGAAAAAGGGCAATTAGAATAGAAATAGGAAGAATGATTAATTACCGGTTTTAAACCGGTTTTCCAGAATAAATTTCGCATGATTACAGATAAAATAAATAAACTTCAATGATTTCTGATGTATTATATCATAATAAATATTTCATATTATCATATTTCAACAGGTTCAATGAACTAGCTTATTTGTAAAAATTTTTACAACCACAAACAAGCATGATCATTGATAATTGATACATTAATTAATTACATTTTAGCTTAATGAGATAAAAAATTTTACTTTCAATGGTTTATTTGAGATACATGTATGTAAATTAAATCAAGTATCATTAAAAAGTGAAAAATTAGTTAGTTGTTGCAATCAAATATCAATTTCGTTGACATTTTCCAGTTATATGTCACCGAATTGACGTAGGCACACATAAATTGAATAACATATCTTTTTAACAAATATTAGTATATTTACCATTTCACATTTGGACTGTTATTTCTTTGTATTACGTTGTTGTTTTTAAATTCGAATTACAGTATTATTTTTTATTAAATAATTGAAATGTTTATTTAAATATTATAAGCAATCTAATTTTGACTAACAATGTTTCAAAAAAAAAAAAAAGAACAAAAACAGTCCAAAAAGGAATGCATTTAATGTTAAATTAAAAAGTCAAAATTTTTTTCAGACTTTTGAGATAATTTAAAGTAATTCAAATTTTCAAAAAAAAATTAATCAAACCGGAATGAATGCTTTTTGTGTTTAGCAATTGGATGATTTTGCATAAAATATAATAATATTATGCATTTATGATACCATTAAAAGTCAACATTTTATTTCAAATACAATATATAATATTTCGATACTTTATTTCAAATATAGTACCTAGTATTTCTGCATTTTATTTTTGGCACAATAGTGTTTTAATGATTTATTATGTAATTAAATTTAAATTCCATTCTAAAATGTAATAATTTATACTTTTGTGATTTTATAAAAAATTCGTTTCATTTCAGATATAATATACGAATATTCAATTAAGCGATTTATTTCATAACTTAAAAAATGCAAAGTTATAAATTGTTGTAATTTATTCATTGAATATTGCTCAGTTTAACTTCGTCATATTCCAATAATTATATCAACACCGCTGTCATCATCTTTGCGCATTCCATCCTTCAATAAATTGCAAATTGCGCATGTAAGTTGATAACAAGTTTTTACGAGTAATTTATCATTTCGCTTTTGATAATAAATAATTTATCAAATTTAAACAGTTAATAATGACAATTTCTAAATCAAATTTTGAAGATTTTCCTATAAATTAACCAATTAATATGCAATGAAAAGTAATAAATTCAAAAGGACAAGAAAATAAAATAATCAAATAATAATAATAACAATAATGAATTAAAAAAACAATTAAAAAATTTGATTGCAAATTATAAAATCAGTACAAATTGAAAAATTTTATTATAAATTCTAAAATTCAAAAAAAAGGAAATCTCACTAAAACAAATAGCTAAATGACAGTAACAATGACAAATACTTAAATACTAAAATACAAAAATATTTATTTACCCTTTTCTCTTTCAATTTCCATTTTAAGTTATCTATTGGAAAGAAGAATTTTAAAAATAAAGGAAAAATTGCAAGAGGGAATTAATTTAATTACTTGTTTATTTGGCGATAAAAATGATGTTGCTGTAGAAGGTATTGTTTCGCCATCTGATGCGACTGTACTTGATTGAGTTAAATCAATTTCTGAGTTCTAAATTTGACTAATGATTTTTTCTTAATTCAAAAATTTTTTGTTTTGAACCACAAAAATTATTCTGCAAACAATTATAATCTTTAAAAAATTTTTTCCTTAATAAGAATTAATCAAAATTTAAGAATTTAAAAAAAAATTAAGTACGCATATCTTTTGGTGGTAAATTAAATAATCAAATATAAACATTTTGCATTAGTAACAATAAAATAATACGACTAAGTTGTAATTAAGCTTCATTCCTTTACCAAAATTGAAATTGTTTTAAAACGAAATGAAAATTTTAAATATTTCATTTTTCAATTTTTTTTGAAGAATTTAGCAAACAAATATTTGGAATATTTAACAAACCTATTTATCGTATTTTTAAAAAGTCCGCAAATTTCAAATCAGACTTTTACTATTTCATTTTTTAAACTTACCACACTTAATTGTTCAATAGCTGTATTTATTTCATTATTACTTTGCCTATCCAATTCTGGTGGATCATTGAATGCATTGAAATGAATATTCTGAAATGAAATTAAATTCTGGAAATGTAATACGAAATAAAATCAACGCAAAGTTACATAAAATAAAATTTATTACTAACAATGTTTTAACTCATTATTAGCAAATAAATCAAATTTAATTATCATTTTAATTCGTTAATCTTACTACAACAATTTATAGTAATTGTAATAGTAGCAATAATTATTATCATTATTAACTGATAAAGTTAGACATTTTGTTATAATTTATTGTTATTAATTAAACTTACTTCAATTAACATCATTGTTTATTTGACATATTATTGCATAATTATTTACTTTAATTGGTGTTTCTTGCAATTTTGAAATTAATAACTTATTTTTCATTCAATTATTAATTATACTTATTAGAATTTTTTTAACAATTAACACGAAAATATTGCAGAAAACTCGTATATTTCTCTGTTTGCGCTATTTTTATTATTAAAATTAGCAACAAAATATATGCATCAAAATATTTTTTAAAATTAAATCTTTTAAAAAATTTATTATATCGTTTCAAAATTAAATCATTTGAAAAAGTTTATTAAAAAAGTTTGCCATTCATAAATTTACTTACAATTCCAGCCTCATGAAGTCGTTCCTCTAAAATGCGCAATTCTTGCTCTCGTTCACGTATTTGTCGTCGATGATAATATTCGTCACGTAAAATGGATGATAATATGCATGTAAAGCCGCATAATGCGCATGTTGTTATTAGCATGACAAGTGCGCCAACAATAAAAAACATTGCGCGTAAAAGATTAAGCAACCATTTCCAACTTTAATTTCATATTTTTCGAAATTTTACAAGCAATTTTTTTAAAATATATTAAAAAGAAGTGAGAAATTTTAAAGGCGCAAATAATTATGGCAAAAATTTTGTTATTTGTGTCTGAATGAAATTTTATACACTGAAATTTTCCATATTTTTCAAGTAATTATTTCCATTTAAACACTTTCCATTTAATTTTACAATTAATTATTCCAATTCATTTTATATCTTTAAATTCAAATTTGAAAAAATGGGAGAATTTTTAGATTTTGCAGGTTAAAGCTCATCAAAGTAAAATGTTTATCACCCTTCGAATGTTATCGCTGATTGTGAATGCTTTTTAAAATCATTAAAATCATATTTGATCCAATTATTTGTTAAATCCATACTAAATATCGCATCAGCAACAATTGATTCAAATATTATTTCGTGTAAAAATTCTATTAACGATTTTTTGATTATCGTTTTATCCACAAATGCTATAAGACAAGTTGTTAAAAAAAAGATTAAAAAATTTTTACATACAAATATCACAAGTTATAAATATTAAACTTGATTACTTAAAAAGTATAAAATACAAATGTAATTCAAAGAAATGCAAAAAAAAAATTTTAAAAATTAATGCAAATATAATCAACGACTTATAAAGTGCTAAACTTAGCTATTTAAAAAGTATAGAAATGTAAATGTAATTCATAAAAATGCAAGAAAAATAAAACAAAAGTGATAATAATGATTTTTAAAAAACTTAAAATTAAAAAACTGATAATATTAATCCACAGAAGTTTTTAAAAAATGTTCAGAAATGTACGTAAATACGTGTAACTTTAATTAAAATTCCAAAAATTAATTAATATTTTCCCCTTCCTTCTTGAAGTTCTACATATAAACTATATTTGTATGCAATTACATGTATACACAATTATATCTAATATATATGTGAATTTAATGTAATTCCAATTTAGCATTTTATTTTCCATTCATATTAGATACTTAATTATATATAAAATTTAAAAATTTCAAATTTAAAAAAACTTACCATTTTTTGATTGATTAATTAAATCGGATAATAATAAATGAATCCCTTCAAAAACACGTTGATTTTTATTATCTTTTAATTCTTCAGCAATATTTTCTTTTTGTACTAATTCATACAATGAATACATCATTTTTGTTGCATTCAAAGTTATCTTATCAATAAGCCAACGACTTTGTCCTAAAGAAAAAAAGAAAAAATTAAAATATTTATCAAATATTTTGCACAAAAACAAAAAAAGAAATAATCAATTGACAAAATAATACACTTAAGATGAAAAAAGAAACAAAAAAAAAAAAATTAAACTAATTGGCTGAAAAAAAAAAGATTAAAAATTGAAATTTTCAAATTTTCATTAAAATCTTTTTTCTTTTATTGCAACGAAATTGACAAAATTTTTTAAAGTAATGTATTAAATTAAATTTAAACTTTTTTTCTTTTAAATCCATATAACAATTTAAAGAATAAATTAATTTTTACCATTTAATGCATACATATATAAAATTCGTCAAAAAATTGTTTGATTAAAATTGTTAAAATAGAATAAATTAAATTCGATAATTATATCACTCATTTTTTTACTGAAATTAATTTACAAATTTTTTTTTTTTGTTCAGAGAATAACCTTTACGATAAATTCCATGCAAATATTTGGATATAATGCATTGGTCATTGCGGTCATTAATCAGTATAATATGTTTGATAACTTTTTCAAAAAAAAATCGTTTTGTTAGCCATTTGCTTATTACATTGATTGTTTGTTGTATGAGATAGCACGAATTATTCCGGATTTTCCTCTCATCTTTAAATAAAACTTCATTTTTTCCGGTCATACAATGATTAACTCTTATAATGTAAGGTTTAAAAATATAATAAGGGTCAATCTATGGAGAATTAGAGAAATATGACAAATGTCAATTGATGGAGGCAAGGTTTAGAATATGACAGAGGTCAACCCTGTAAAGGGTCGAAAGTATAACATAGATCAAATCTGGAGTATTAAAACTTGCAAAACATCAAGTAAATCGACCCTATATGTAAGGTTAGAAATATAACATAGATCAATCGAGAAAGTGAAAAACATGAAAACATGACAGAGGTCAACTTGTCGAATGAAAAAAAAGACATGATAGAAATCAATTAATCAAGAGTATAAGGTTTAATAATATAATGTAAGTTACAAACCGATAGAAAATTAAAACATAACAAAGGTCAGAATCTAAATTGCTAGACTTAAAAGCATAATACGGGTCAACTCTTAAACTAATAAAACTTGGAATACAATTGAAGCTGTCCTTTAATTAGCAATAAACTTGACCAATTTACAAATCAAAGGTAAACTTGAAGGATTTGTCTTTGATCTGGACATTGGTCAAGATTAATAGAGCAAATTTTCAAATGGACTGTCAATGATTGTAATTATGATTCGAAGTGCAGTCTTATAGAAATCATTTGATACTAATTTTCTTTTCTTTTCCTCCTTATCTTTCAACTCATTTATTCAATGAAGACGAGAAACTTTTCAATACTTAAGAAAAAAAATGAATTTTCAAAAAAGAAAAAAATTTCGTTTTGAAATTTATTCATTACCTTTAGTAGTTCGACCAGCATCTTCAAGACTTTGATGTAATTTATTTGTATTTAAAAGTTTGCCAAAATATAATTTTGGATTTTTGGGTAAATGTAAAACGGCAGCATATAAATAATTGGAATCATTTGATAATAAGCATGCTATAGCATGATATATATCCAATACTTGTTTTAACTTTAATTTAATAATATATTAACAAATTTGAAATTGGAATAGAAGATATTCATATTTTGATATTGTACATTAAAAAAAAAGAATTTATAAATTTTTAATTTCTTTCGTTAAATTACAGAAAGATGATAATATGGTGATGAAATTTACTATAAATCATATGCTAGAATAATTTATATAAAAAAGAGTTGTTTTAAATTTTTTGAAATGATATAAATAAACTGAAATATACTAAACATAAAAAACAAAATGAAATAGGATTCGATCTTTTCGCCTATTATTATTGTAAAATTAATTGTCCCTCATATTAATTAAATTATTGAAAGATCAATTGAAAGATCAGTTAAATAGTAAAATACTTAACTTGAATTTACTTCGTCACTGTTACATATCACTCACGTATTTCAAGGTTAAACAATTAAATTAGCTACGCAATCAATTGTTTCTGGAAAACTCATCGAAAGAAAGAAATTCAATTTTGTCAATTAAATTATTGAAGGACCAATTTGCTTCGTCGCTCTAATATATGATTTGCATACTTCGAAGTTAAAGCAATAAATTATCCACGTAATTAATTAATTTCGCGTGGACTTGTTGGAAAAAATTAAATTTTACCATTTAAATTATTAAAAGATCAATTTGTTAATTAATTTGTTGAAAGGTCTTCATATTATTTATTATTATATCTAACATATCACTCATTATTTCAGGTTAAAAGCACTAAATTGACCACGCGATTAATCGTTTTTGTATATGATTACCAAAAAAGAAATTAATTGTGTTTTCCATCCGACATTTATTTATTTTAAATTTAATCATTAGGTAAGCAAAATAAATACTTTTACCTTTATCGGTGTTAAATTATGATCAATAGTAAATATTAAAGCGATTGGTATATCTCGTTCTTTGAAATTTAAAACACTGTGATCATTACTGTTCCACATACAATATTGTTTCTAATTAGTATTTTGCATTTAGCAAATATCACAAATGATCCAAAATTTAATCCCAAAATTGGGAAATTCCCGTGGAAATTAATTTTTGCACCTCAATAATATTCATTTTTCTGTTTTACAATTGCATTGATTTTATAACTGGATGAAATTTCAGTTGTGATTCGCAAAATTGACTACGAAAATGATTCAGGCTAAAGCAAGTGAAACATCATGGTTGGGGATTATCCAAGATAATTTTATAAATTGTAGCAGGAACGCGGGTAAAAATTTAATCTTACTTCTCTCATGACTATTTTTTTCACAAATAAAGCGTAAAGATGTGATAACAGCTAATTAAGATGTGATAACAATTTCAAATTAGCTGAAATATTAAAATCTAAAAACGATTCTGTATTAACTAAGTGAAGTTTATAAGGATATTAACTGGATGAATCACAACAATTCCAACAATTACTCTATTGATGGAGCTTTGCAAATGACACGATTGTTTGGATAACAAAAAATAAGAAAATAAAAAACGAATAAAAAAAGAGGACAGTTAGTGACACGAACACAATTTTTTGTGTTCTTATCATTAACTGTCCTCTTCTCACCTATTTGGGAGAGCAAACGGAAATTATAAAACGAAATAACGACAACTAGCCTGATCACGAGCAGCATTTGCTAATGGTAATGTAGACTCTGTAGTTGAACATTCAACCGCAACATGTCGAAATAATTCCGAGGGACATAGTATTGCAAGTATTACCACATAACATTGCAAATTTGTCAACCAACCGCCCAGCATTATTGATTAGCAAAGTGTTAAGAATTTTCGAGGTTAAATTCTATTTTATATAAAATCCATTAAATTAAAAGTTTGAAATTTATTCAACATCCTCTATTCAAATTTATCCAAGTGTAAAATTCATTTTTGACCGCTCGAATCCAAGAAGCAGCAATTTCAACTTGAGTAAACTAAGCCAACCCGCATGAGCGTAAACAAACGAATGAAATTGCAAAGTCACAGTAACTATATGTCAGGTTTCTCATTGTGAACTTCTACGACAACGGGTTTATACATTATCAATTTGTCCATCATTTATCTGAGTTGCCCAGCACTCCAGTTAATATACTTTCACCATATTTAAATTTATGCGAATGGTACTTGGAATGGGACTTTTACCCTCAATTTATGAAGGTTTACTTTATGAAGTTAAAGAAAAACTGAGAATGTGAAATACTAAACGAAAAGAAAGAATTCATTTCTTGTCAGCCAATCATAAAACTAATCGAATATAATTCATAATATGAAAGAAGTTGTGTTCAATTCAAAACACCAAAATTCACTTCGGGAAGAAATAGACGACACAGAAATCGAAAATTTTGAATATGCGTACTTCGGCTTTACTAAAACCTTAGTACGAACTTTGGGATGATTAAATAATAATATGTTCGTCTACTAACAGTTCGCAAAAATCATTTTGTTAAAGAACAAAAGTTGCAGTTCGAACTACACAATCCTGCACCATCATATCACTTGAATTTTAGGACTAAAAATGAAAATAATTTTCAGGCCAGTATATTATGTCAGTAAAAAGATTGCAAAAAGAGAGCATCAAGATCAAAAATACAATACCGGTTTTTAAAAGCATGCATCTAATGACCATACTTTTGAAACTCCCACTCTCTATTATCAAGAGGACACACTTGACGTGTCTTAAGCCAACGTGAAATACAGTGAAAATGAAATGCATGATTGCATACACCCCATGCAACTGTGCATTCTTCGGAAGTTGCTGAAGCCTGCAAATGATTAATATAGGCAGTTTAAACAACTGGACAGTTGAGAAACAAAGGACTAAAACAACCCGTACCAAATTTACCTCTGCAATATACTACGATTCGGACCGAAAAAAAAAAAAACAAAGCTTCAAAAAGCTATCAGAAATAGAAGGACTTTTGCTACATCAATAATAAAATTTACTTGGTTTGCTTGACATTCGATACAGAGGTCCATAATATGGTTCCGACAAATTGCGCAATTATCAACTACTATATCCCAAGCCCACAGCGCTACTGCATTCCATTTCTTCACCTGGAATTTCACATTAAAAGAAATGAACTTTAATAATCTCAATAAACTTTCATTTTCAAGAATTTTCAGTATTTCTCATTTATTTATCGTCGAACAGAACCCATTAGAATAATACAGGAATGAACCGAAATATTTGCTTCCATACTTATTTAAAATAAAGTGAATTTACAATGATGAGATAACACCGAACCACCAGATTGTTCCATTAACAACATGAAACACCTTAAATCTGTACCTGATATCGCGTAAAACATTATTGGGATTATGTAGTAGATTGCTTGATCCATCTAGAAGGAATAAAGGAAAAAAAAATATAAAAAAGGAAAGAAGAAAACCTCAAAGCGTTTCTTTTCTTTGCTAGAAATACTTGGGGTGCCGGAAGGTTGCTGCACATCATCCAATTCCATCTGTTGTGCTCCGCTTACAGACATTTCAAATTCCAAATTTCCTTTCTAGTTATCTAAAAACTAATTATGTCCCATTATATGAACATGACAAGTTCCGATTATTTCGTCACCGTTCAAAAATATGAAAACATGCAATAACAGAAATCAGATCTTGCCTGAACATGAATCATGCATATGAAATAAAGAATAAACAAAAATTAACCAATCTCGAGATAAAACTGAAAGTTCGATCTGAATTCGAATAAATTCAATCAGTCATCTGATATATTCATCCATTCACACATTCTGTTGCCTATCATTTCCGACTACAGCACAGTATATACCCGATCAGGTCGCTCTTATGCGGATAAATTCTTAATTTTCCCATTTTTCTACTCCTCACCCATTTAATCCATCCACTAATCAGTGAAATACTCTCAGGTCTAAAACGATTTGATGCCGGAAATAGACCTATATCGTAATTGTTGGCACATATATGAGTGTTATGGCTTAATGTCTGATGTGCTGTCACAATATTACGTTTTGTATTCGGCATTTCTGGAGATCAGTCATTTACGCTAACAAAGAGTTTTTCATTTCAAAAAACACAAATGACAGTTCATTAAGTATGAGCGCTGCCATTCCAGAATTCCCAGAAATCCGAAATCTGATGCTAAAAAAAAGAAATTCAACTTCAAAACTTCGTCCCAAATATTACCTACCGGAAACGTAATGTAAACCGGAACGAGATCGAAAATAGCTAAACCATAAACTGCAAATCTTCCACAAATAGGAGAATCCCGATATCACGAGAAAAAAAAATGCTATAAACTAATCTCATAATCTCATTCGGTAATTGTTGGCAATATCAGGATGTTTGTTTCATTAATTTTTTCGTTTATTTCCAGTGAATGATCGATGTTTAAATTACCTGAACGTTTCCAATCACGTTTGTACAACACGTGGCCACGTTACAAGAATATTGGCTTTATTACATTATACATTGTTACACGTAAGTTTTTATTGATAAAGTTGATCGATTCTTGAGAATTAAATTGAATACATTGATGTTCTTTAATATTACTGATAGATATGAGAAGTCAGTAGAAATATGAAAATTTACAGGATTAAAAAATATTGTTACATAGTACTTTTGAATTTTGCAAACTATTGTAGGGCTTATAATTAGAAACTTAAAACTCAAGTCTTATAATGTCAACAATTAATTTCATTTCTCAACTTTATACAGATGAGTTGTGAGGGAAATTTAATCGGAAAATCAAAATGTAATTTGAAATTTGATTGCCTAAAATTGATAGTTCATTGTGACTTGTGGTTTTGCAGAATAGCTGAAGGAATTTAATCCAGAGTTTGAAAATCTAATGTAATAAATGAATTACCTGAGGTCTGCATTATTCATTTAGTTTTGGGCAGTATCAAATATTACAAATCCAGAAGAGGTGGAAGAAAACCGATTAGCGGTTAATCGACGGTTCACAAATAATCTGCGGTAAGTTCTATTGACTTCGAACTTTACGGTATACGTACAATGGAAAAGGTTATTTTATTTCACTTTCATCACCGAAAAGCTGACCAGTATTTTCGTTTTAGAAACCCGTGGAACAATCCCAAATGTCATCTTCAAATAAAAAGTCCAATGTTAAGGATTATTATGGATACTGGCAACTATATCCCAATAATATCCGCGCCAGGCGATGGTTCCAGCAATTTGAAGCGTTAAAAAATGGTGGATCGTTTTGTATGAGAATTATAGCCGTTTTCGCAGTCGGTAGGTGATAACTATTGTTTGATTTTATGATTGGTTAGTTGCTTAGATAATATATTTCTTTTTGCCACTTACATTATGAAACTCTGAATGTACCAAGAATTTTTTTGCCACTTAAATTATGAAACTCTGAATATGCAAGAATATCGTGTATATATTTTTTGAGTGCTCGTCTTTCGGAGCGACTGAAAATTCTATTGACTAATTTTTATTTACATTTCAGCATATCATGCAGCATATTATACTTATCAGTTCACTGCAGTCAGCCCAGAAAACAGGCACGATTTGAGACATGTGATATGGTTGAAGCGTAAATTGCCTTTCTTCGCTCCAATTGGCATCCGCAAAAAAGAAGAAATAGCGAATAATCCGGAGAAGAGCTCATAATTTTTTTTTTCATTTTGGATTAAAATTTTCAAATGCAGCTGTTGTGGTCAAACTTCCAGCTATTTATTAGTCGCTTTTCTTAATGTTCGAATTTTTACTGTCAAACAGTTTAATTGATAAGCTGATTGTTTTGCTACATCACTTTGCGGATCTTTTGATTTATCGTTAGATAGAATAGTGCAGGTACATTTCATGTATTATTGGTATATGACTTTATTATTGTTTATTGATTTTTATGATTTTGCTCTACTCTTCATTTGATGAGAATAAATTTTCATCATTTTATTTTCCTGAACAATTTTTGGAAGTGAGTTGTTCTAAGTGATATTTTGGATTTTTCTCAGAAACTTATTTTAAGCAATTTATGCGGTTAAATTTTTTGGATAACTCGTTTTCCCTCACATTCATGCTTTAACCAAAAAGATTTTTCCAACCATTATACGTAGTTTGAACACTGCAACATTTTCGTGATTTACGAATAAAGTTAATCGGTAAATCATTTCCTGAAGAAGATCTTTATGGTTATGACTGATGACAATAAATTATTTTTCGAAGGAAGCAATCTATACTAATTTAAAGGTATGAAATTTTATTCAGATTTAGATGAAACAAACAGAATGGTTCCTGCGAAGATATCCGAATCAATACAAAGCGGAAAATATGAGGACACCAATCTTAACTTTCTGCTGTGGTGTGGGTATTCTATCAGTAGTTTTGGGTAAGTTTTCCGTTAATTACAGTTAGTGTTTAATGCGGTGATAAACTGATAGATTGGATTCCCTTATCCAGCATGAAAATTTGTGATCGATTTTTCAGTATTATTATACTCCAGTTTAATCTGTTCTAAGATGGACGTATCCACTAGGACATACCCATGTATTTTCTTTAGTTTATCAATATGATCTTGTTTTTATCTTCTGCTCATCATTTTTGATCGCATAACACTTATTTTCGTGAAATGATTTATTGTAGTTCTATACAACCGATATTGTCTGGATGCAAGGAAATTACCAGAAGGTGAAGCGGTGGATTGGCGATTAATGTATTGTTTGAAGAAATATGTCCCAGCATTTCGAAACTTTGGTATACCATACCGAGAATATAAGCCAGATGATTTTTGAACATTTTTTTTATACCGTAGTCTGTTATGGGATTTTCGAAAATCATTGTGTATGTTTAGCTTAAGATCTTAGTCAAATTGATCCATCAGTTAGTTATTGCACCGGTGATTGGTTCAGTAATTAGTGTAATCATCGTTTTATTTGATTGGTTTTTACATTATCGTTAGTGAATTAAAAAGCCAGTAAGCTAGCTTTTTGAGGAAAAGGAATTATATTGTGGATAATTGTTGGATGTTTTTATTAATATCTCAATTTAATTGATGGGTTAATTGTGACTTTGCTCGTTTTGTGTTTAACATTACGCTAGGTCCGCACAACTTATTTTCGAGAAAGTATCCATCGAAATAGTTATATCCACATTGCTTTTTGACCCAGAATTGTAGCAGTGAATTAATCCAATGAATTCTCATCTAAAATAAAGAAGGAAAGACCTTTTGTAATACTTTGCTTCACTGATCTTATAAATTGATAGCCTTTACATTGATACTAATGATGCCGCCATTAATGATATTTAATTTATTTCACTTAATTTGCGGAAGGTTTACTTGTAGTGGAGATATCTAGAATTAATTCCTTTATTTTCGCTATTAAGATTTGTGACTTGTGGATTGCCTGCAAGTTGTTTAAGAAATTCTGACATGAAATTGGGAAGAATACGAATCACATCATATATCCTTTCCTTTTTTCCTTTTTTTTTCATTTTTGGAAAGGAAGGTATGACGACGATTCGACCATTCGACGTTTTCGACTTATTTCGATTTAATAATACGTAAGTTTTTACATGTTTTACATTTTACATATTGCATATTTTAGTTGCACAAGGGAAAGCTACCTATTGAGTTAAATATTTTGAGAGTAAAGTAGTTGAAGACTCAAATGATTTGTTAAATTTGACCTTTTAGAACTGAAAATTTTACTTAATCGTGCTTTTTTGGTTAAGAACGTCGTCTTTCATTCCTTCGAAACTTTCGCATACAAATAATTTGATTAGAAAATAGAACCTAATATATATTTGTAGAAAAGATTTACTTCATCTCAGAATTATGAAATTCCTGGAGATCCATTTTTGAGTTGAGAAAATTATTTTTCATACATGTGAATAAAATGTGCTTAGACAAGGAAATTCTCAAGTATTTTTTTTCTTTTTCAGAAATTTGGATCCCTTGACAGAAACGGTGTGTTTTTTCTTGTTTCAATTTTTATGGCACTCAAAATTTCTTGAGCAAATTTTTTTATGTTGAATTTTGAAAATTCTGTTAATTTCGACTGAAATTGAAATGCACAGAGTTTTTGGATTTGTAAATATCGGGTTTTATGCATTGAAGTTAATGAATTCATATATAGCTGAAAGATTTTCGGGAATAATTCGAAGAAAAAGCCTTGAGGATTTCTCTTTCAGTACGGTTTCACTTTTTATTTACAATATCTGATCAATCATGGGGAATATTTCCAAGTGTGTGAACATCCAAACGGTGAAATTATGGGTTATGGTGAGTTTCTTGAAGTAATTAATTTATCAAAAGACGGAAGGCAGCGATTTAGATTTTTTTCGGTGGAGAGACTCAAGGTAGTTGCACTTCTGCAAAGCTACGCCGTCGACAAAAGCTGCTGTGTGGAACAAACGGCAACTGTATGGAACAAAACGCTACTGTGTTTGCAATATTAGACACACGATATCATGAATGATGATGATAACGATAATATGTAGAAGTTTGCAAAGCCAGACTTTGATATGTTGAAAAGATATTTGGCGATGAATTTTTTCTTTTAAATGGCTATTTTGATGAATTCGATGCACACAAAATTTTCTGGTAATTATAAAATAATATTTGTGCTATGAGCTTTGAATATTTTCTTGAATCGCTTGCTTACAGTTATGGGAAAAGCGGAAGGTGAACATGAATATTGGCATGGACATGTTACGGCAGTAACCGTTGCTCCAACATACCGACGATTACATTTGGCGGCACGAATGATGCATACCCTTGAGCAAATTTCAGAATTGTACTCTTTTCATTCATACTGTTTTGTCAAGTGAAATGCTCAATGGAACGAAAAAGGCTGATTTTAAAAATCCATTGGGGCAGATAAAATATTATTTACGTGTGGCGTAGAGATCCTTTAAAAGGAAATTTTAATGTAGATTCATTACTACTATAAGTTAGACTTCTAAAAAATTAAAACATTCTGGCTAGCAACATTTAAGCTTAAAACACAAATGCTGACAGAACTACAAAACTTATGAAAAAGTAGTTCAATCATTCAACATCAGTGGTAATTATAGTACTTTAATTTGAGTTCGGATAAAATTGTGGTAGGGAAGGGAAAGGTAAAATTGCGAAGAAGTTATATAAATTCCTTTTGTTGCCCGTAAACTCAGCTGATCATATCTGATAGTGTTGGGCGATTTTCCTTTTGTTTTGAAATTTTAGGAAAAAATGTTATTTTGTTGATCTCTTCGTGCGTGTAAGTAATACTGTGGCAATCACTATGTATAAAAGTCTTGGTTATGTGGTCTACCGGCGCATTATTGATTATTACTCTGGTGAAAATGACGAAGATGCTTATGGTTAGTTGACTTTTTAATTTTTTGGAATTTTTGTTTTTTTTAGCTAAACTATAATTTTTCAGTAGTTACACTGTTGAGATATACATCCTGTGTAGTTTTCATTTTTATTTTTTTCAGAAGATTGAAATAGATTTAGTTTAATCTCATGTGGTGACAAATGACGGCATTTTCGTGTTGTAGTTCTTTTTCTATCCAATCATTTCAGTCAAGATAATAAGAAATAAATACGTTGATGGTGCAACTTCCTGTTGAACTCATCCTTGTAACTTCTCAATTATACTGACATTTGAAGTCGTGGTTATCAATATTTATCAGGACGAATTGGTTTCGAGAGAATTTAGGAATTGTCGTTTTCAGATATGCGAAAGGCGTTATCCAGAGATCCAGAAAAGAAATCAATGATTTCAATGAAGCAACCTGTTACGTGTGATGAGATTGATCTTAAGGATTAGTTTTTTTTTTGCGATTTTTTTAGCGCTGCTTAAAATAACATGACGGAGTATTATGCAACGGAATTGTTTTTGCATTTTATTGTTTTTCTTTTTTGTTTTGCTAACTGTGTATTTATTTTAACTGTGGTACTAATGTTTTTACCACATATCTTTTCTTATACACCAATTGGTTACTGTTTTTTTATTTATTTTAGCTATAGTACTAATGTTTTTACCACATATCTTTTCTTATACACCAATTGGTTGCTGTTTTTTCTTTTTTATCTAGTTGAACAGAAAGTAGAGCAAATTAATTGTTACCTGGAAACTTTTGTCAGGTTATACATAAGCAAATTCTCCATACGAATGACTGGATAATTTCAGTCCAACCAATTGAAAAATGAAATTGCAAGTCGGTTGCATCACTTCCTTTTCAATTCTTATGCCAATATTTTTTTATGTGTCAGTCATTTAGTGTGAATTTAGATCATTCAATTTTTATTTATTTATTTTTGCTACCTGCGCAATAAAATTCATCAAATATCGATCAGTGCTCATTTCTATGCATAAAATGGGAATAAATCTCGGTCTTTTTTGATTTCATTTTGCGTTTCTAATCCATTATTACATTTCAAAACATACAAAAATTTATCATTCCATACTGTTACATTATAGATGCATGAAAAGTTACAACAGTAAACACGAAAGGCTCTCTAGAAATGCTTCCTTCATAAAGCATATGTGAATTCAGTGATGAAAATTTTGATCTCATCATTTACTGAATTTTTTTTTTTTTTGAACGGTTACTTGTCATTCGATTTTTATTTCGACGAATAAATCCTATCTTTTACTTTTCCTCCATTTTTCTTTCTTTCTTGAATATCTTAAATATACAAAGTGTTGTTATTTTTATCACAGTACATTTACCATATTTTGCCTTATAAATTTGTTGCTTTTGTTTTTAAAATTGAATTAAGAAATTCTTTATGAAAAATCTATGCATAACTATCAGTATTATGAATTATAATTGCTGAACCTAGGAAATAAGTTTTTTATAATTAAACCAATATAGATCACTACATAAATATTCGCTACAAATTTAGTATCTTTTTTATATCCTATGATTTCGTTTAAATTCAAAAATAAATTTTTAAAATACCGCTGAATATGCAGTAAATCTTGTACATCCATCATTATTCAGCTATAATTAAAAAAAAGTTTTCGTGACTAATTTTTAGATTACCTGACCTATGTGGGCATGAAGGCAAATGATTTGGAATTTTAGGCGCATACTGAAAAAGGTAATTAACCCTTTAATGATTATAGCTTAATTTTCTGGTCAACTTAGAATCCTTCAGTACCATTACTGGTAAAATACTGTGAAAATAATGCAAATTCACTGAATTTAATAAATTTACCAAACATAACATGTTTTAATATTTTAACTTTTTTCTTTCAATATATTTTAGTATAATATCCAAACATAATACAAGTTATCATTCTTGAAATATAATGTATTTTGAATTTTATTTTAAATATTTGCATATGGAAATTGTTGAATTGTTTTAGAAAGAATATTTCTAAGAAATTTTTCGTTTTTCTTTTTTGTCACTTTTATTTTTGAATTTCTGATCTTTCAGTTTTTAATTTTTAAACTTCTATTTCACTACAAATGTTTCACCTTCTCTTTTTTCAAAATGATTTTTTTTAAAGAATCACAATAATTTTTCTTTAGAATGGAAATGAAGAAGCTCATTATCACTCATTATCATATAAGGAATGTAATGTTATTTATAATTTTAATTTCAGCATATGTCATTTTCAATGTTCTAAAGTTCAAATATGAATGAGAAGGAATCAAGTACTATCATTCCGGATTGTCAACCATGTCGATATGTTGGAACCGGATTATTTCTTTTCGTTGCTTCATATATCTGGTATAATACACGAAATACTATTTATAATGGTGGCATTTACAAAAGACTACCTTTACGTTTTATTGCTGTTGGTTGGTCGATTTATTGTTTTTGTTAATTTGTTGATGTTAATTTATTTGTTGATTTATTGATTTATTTGATTTGATTTGGTTTGGTTTGATTTGATTTGATTTACTTTTTGTTGATTTATTCATTTTATACTTTTAATTTCAAAACATTACGTAACTTTACTGAGCATTTGTATGTTTTGAAATTTTAATGGTAATCATTGATAAAATGGATTTAACAAAAAAACAATAGATTTTTTCTATTGCATTATCTCTCGATTAACACAACAATTATCATATTATTATACTTGACAATTATTATCATATCATACTTGACAATTATTGTATTATTTTCTTTTCAATTAATCCTTTCGTCGATTTTTTCTTTTTTTTTTTATTCTCTAATTTTATTTTGTTTGCATTCTTAAATCAAATAGATCTACTTGGATGTTTTACTAATTTTTAAATTGCTTTGAATTGATAAGCATCAACGTAGAGCTAGCTTTCCGATAAATATAACAGAATAATCAATTAAATTATGTGATAGAGTTTCCGGTGATAAAATAAGACATAATCATATTCGGTATTTGAAATGATATCATTGATATAAACTTTGTAAGATTGCTTATGTTAGCTGTTATATTTAATTTAACTGTAAAATTGCAAATTAATTCATTTTTGCAAGTATTATTTTGCATGTATGCATACATTTAAAAGTTATTATTCTACAAATAATTATACCAATTTCTTTTTTTTTATTTGCAGGATCGATATATATGTCCTTTGCGCGCTTCATTTATCTTCCACCATTCAAACATCTTGCGCCTAAGAAATAAAATATGCCGAAAATGTCGATGATTTTTTTTATTACATCCTTCATATAATAGTTATCTGTAATTTTATAATTCTTTTTGTTGCATTTTTAAATCTCATTTTGAAAATTTAAAATTTGTATTGTAATTTAGCGATATTTTGGTTTACCAAAAAATAAGCATTTTTTTTTGTCAATTGATAAAATGATCATTGCGTGAATACTATAAATTTATTGATCTCTTGATCTATTTTTGAATTTTCAAAAATTTGTAGACATTTTAATTAATCCAAATTGATCAACCATTATGCATTTTTACATTCAACTCTTCATTATCATTTTTTTTTCTTTTATAAAATCGTTATCAGCTGCACTGGTAAGTTTATTAACATATCATTTTAGTTAATTCTTTTTTGGTACTAATGAAATGTAATAGTTCTTCACGATATATTTGATAATCTACAAATGTTATAATATTATTATAATATGTGTAACATTCCATAAATAAAAAATATCGGTTAATTAAAAGTACTGAATTTAGAATTTTTGTTTCATACTATGTTATCAAATTATATTACAGTATGCATTTAAGATAAGTGATATCGTATGTTCAATTTCAATAGAGGAAATTATTAGCAAGATAGGACAAATCAAATTTTGACAAATCAAATCAAGTTGTTCTGATTTATTATCACATTATTATCATCATTTATCATACGAATCAATATGAATTATTTATCTATCAATTAATCAATCATTGATGTGCTCAAATGTATACATAAAACTTATGCATATATGAATAATTAATAGCACTTTATATGCATCATTCTAGGTCATTCTAGTTATCCAAGTTTATCGGAGAATGATAGTGACCAGTTGGGTTACTGTAACATTCACAAAAAAAGCTTTCGGAAAGAGAACATTGATATAAATTGGAATAACTGAAATAATAGTATGATCATATTAAATATGTCATTAAATTATACCAAAATTATCAGAGGAATGATAATTGTCAATTGATCATAGTAACGTGTAATGGAAAAAGCATTCGTGAAAGATAGGAAATAAATAAGGTAATTGGATTAGCAATATAATGATATTAAGTACAGTCTTCATTAAGCCGATTTGAAATTATCAAAAAAAGAATAAATAAAAAAAGGGTTGGATTATCAAAAAATTATCGAAGAGATTTCGACAAAATTAACAAAATAATAATAAAATGATAATTATGAGTTGACTATTTTTAGCAAAATTTGAAATACCGTAATGCTGATAAGGGAAGAATTAAATCAAATATGGTCATTTCGTTAATTACTTTGAACTTTTAAATAGGTCATAGATCAACTTGTAGCAACCCAAAATAATGATATTAAAATTTTTTTGATCATTTTTTTTTGAAAAACTTCAAGTAATAATTTATTATGCAAATATTGTAAATATTTACAATCAAATAGTTTCATTACTAAATATTTTCAAATACTTTTTGATTGTTGTAGTTAGAATTCTATAATGAAATCTTTTCCAAATGTTGACATTCTTATCATTCATTTTATCATTTAACTCACTCTGTGTGACATTTTTTTCCCTCTGGTGTTAACAGAAGATCAAGATGGAATAAATTATTTTGAGTGAATTTACATAAATTTGATAAGTAAATTTTGATAAAGTTAATTTTGCATATTTATTTGAATTTAGTGTAATATTCTAATGAATGATATATTTGCGCAATGAAAATTCATTTTATACCATAATTCCAAGCATTGATCGGTGGTTCAATTTGGATTTATTAATAATATCCGTATTTTAATGAAATTAATACTTATTATCTTTATTTGCTATCATTAATTATCCTATCATTTGAATCGTTTTCATCTTTACCAATAAGTAATTTTTATCACTGTAACATCTTGTCATTTGATATTTAATTATTGGTGACGAATTTCAGGTTATCATTTAAGAAATTACAAAAAGAATAAATTTTACCTTACATTACCTATTTTATTGTTTTGTTATTACTAATTTATGCTAAAATTCCCTCATTTTGATAAAATTAGAGAAATTAAAAAAAAGTTCTTTTCTACATTTCAAAAATTAGCATTTTTTCCTTAATTTTTAAAATAAAATAATCGGAAAAAAATGATTCGATTTTAAAATTAAAATAATTCCCAAATTTCAGAAATTAAATTTCATATTATTATTAACTTATTTTTGATTGCATAAAAAGTAATTTTAAAGTTAAAGCTTGTTCTACATTTTCGGAAATTCTGCACGTGTATGTGTGTATGCGCGTGTATGTGTGTGTGTATGTGGGTGTATGTTTATGTGTATGTATGCATCTGTACCTGTCTGTATGTGTCTATGTGTGTGTGTGTGTGTGTGTGTGTGTGCGTCTGTCTACACTTCGAAGTATGGATGTTGTAACAAATGCAAATAAATTTCTCCAACTACTCAAAATTCAAAAGAAAAAAAACGTTTGGATATTATTTTCACAGTAAACTATGCAAAGTAGTGCATTTTCATCATCGTTGCTTACTGTTGTGAAGCGGCGGAAAAAGTGAGGAAGTTCAAAGGGTAGCGGTGCATTGATGTGTAGGTATGCGTACGAGTGCGTTTTTGCGTGAGACATGAGGGTGAATTTGGGAGAGGAAATGGCGGGGTAGAAACAGTCAAAATTGTCGGAATCCATTGATATTCTTCGAATGCATTTAATGTTCGGAAATTAATCAATAGGTAAGAGATGTGGATGTGAGAATATTCAGACATTCAATAAATTCTTTAAGATAAAAAAAAAAAAATACAGAAGAGATAAGGGTATATGTGCTATTGTAGTTGTTAAGTACTGCTTAGTATATGAATTGCATGTTAGCGCTAAATGCGAATTTCCGTTTCAACTGCAATCATGCGAATGAAAAGTTCGCCAAAAGATTAAAAATTATCGTTTTAAGAAAGTTGAATTTCATATCGTTTGAAGACCAGTTTTTACCAAAATATTGGTATTAATATACTTGGTGGGTGAAATTAAGAAAAAAATGCGTGTGAATAACATGAGAAGATATAAGGAAGTGAAAAACGGAATAAAGATGTCATAACGACCGAATGCAATTTGTAGTTTTCCGTATTTTGCCCATAATTTGGTTCCTTATAATCCGTAGTAATTTGAATTTGATCTTGTAATAATAATTTGAATTATGATTGTGTTATATTTGCAAATTTTTCGTTCATGATTTTATGTTTACAATGCCATTGGAGATGAAATCTTTAGGTAGTCGTAAATAATGAGGATTTTTTGTAAAAACTTCGCTAATCAATAATTTGGGATATGTGTTATTTCTTTCTCCTAAAATTCTATCTTCCGAAGAATTTCCAAAATTTCTTGAACATGTTCAAGTTCTAATTAAATCCTTCAAGTCTGTTCATGGTATTTAGGAGTTACTCGTATGCCCGACACCTGAAGACCTGTTATTCGTAATATGAATATACGTAATATGAAGACTTGTATTCACTCTTGTACTCAAGATTTAATGGTATATTTAAATTCTTCTAACGGCTTGTTTGAGTGAAATCATAAGATATTGAAATTCCAAAAACTTTATTTAATGTTCACTTTCTATAATTGCACGAAAATGAATACAGCTCATAAATGCCATCAAACGATAATTCTTTAATACTTCAACAGTTCTTATATTTTTCAATTTACAGGGTTTCAGATCGAATACCATACGGCCAAAATCAAACTCCGGAAAGATGCCGTTTCAGATTGCAAGTTTGTTGGAAAAGATGTCATCAACAGATAAAGATTATCGTTTCATGGCTACAAATGACTTAATTATTGAACTGCAGAATGACAGCATTAAATTGGATGATGAATCTGAACGAAGAGTATGGTACTTCTGTATGCGTGTTACTCAACAAAATGATTACATTGTACTTGACAGCTGAAACACCATCCTCGTCCATATTGAAATTATTCCATTAATTAGATTAACGTGATATGCTTATAAAAATGATTGCCAATATTTTTCGCACTGCTTAAGAACGTAAAACTTCACAACATCAGAATCACTGGTTTATTAACTATTTACAATTCGCATGTTACATATAAAAATATACAACTAGTTCCTGCTTCGTAAAACTTTTCAATCTATATGAAAGTAGGGCATAAAGTTCGGTGTCGGGACTATTTTCTATTTGCCATCTAGAAATCATTGTAATATATGAAAAGAAATGGTTGACATATGTGTCGAGCAACAGAGAATTCGTTTCAGCTTTCATCATTTTTTGATACAAATGAATGATGTTAATTACTGACTTGTATAAAAGGCATTCCATATTGGCATTGCCATTTTCGTATGTGAATTTGTCCAGCATTTTTAATCATAAAAAAATGTTTTCAAATATATTTTTAAACATTTTTTTCTTTTTTTCTTTCATTTTTTTGGTCTATCTTCTCAAAAGGCATTTTCAGGTTGTTAATATGGTTATAAAGCTATTGGAGGACAAGAATGGTGAAGTGCAAAATTTGGCAGTGAAATGTTTGGGACCACTTGTACATAAAGTTAAAGATACACAGGTGAACTTTTCAGTTGTTCGCAACTGTTGCATTATATCAGATTTCCGTTTCCGCTGTATCAGTGTCGTAGGAAAAACTAGTCAGTTCTTTTTTCGTTGTTCTTTTTTCAGTGTCTTTTTCGTTTCAGGCTCAAGCAATTTTTTCACATCTTTGTGAAACGATGATTAATGGTGATGAGAAGTTGCGAGATGTTTCCTCAATTGCACTAAAGACGGCAGTTGCTGAATTACCTGCCGCAAGTTCTCCTTTAACAGTGGCAGTAATCAAGCTGTTGGTACCACCACTTAAAGATGCATTATGTAAATCACTTTCTGTTTTTTTATATCCTTCATGTATGTACTGGATTAGTGGTTCCTATTTTTGACAAACTTTTATGTTGAGAATCCTTCACTTTATGCTGTCGGAAAAAATCCTCTTGTTATTTTGCTAAATCGATTAACTTTACAGCGGATACGGAACGCGTCGATATTTCTGTCAAGCTCGAAATAATCGATATTATATCTGATATCCTATCACGCTATGGATCGTTATTTTCTCCATATTTAAGAGGGGTTTATTCTTGTGATATAAATGTTTAAACGAGCTACTGTTTGCTGGAAAGGAATTAAGAAATTTTGCAAAATATATATCCTGTAAAATGTTTCAGCTGCAGCAAGCTTTACTTCAACAATTATCCTCCGACCGTCAAGCTCTTCGCAAACGGTCCATTATGGCGTTATCAAATTTGTTGGCCCTCTCAGATGTCACTCTTTATGGAGAAACGATGGATGTTGTTGTGCAACATCTTACAGCACCTGGAGTAATCATTCCTTTATTTTTATTTTTATTTCTATTTTCCATTTAATAAGAAGGTTTCGTCCCGGAAAAAACGCTTCATCGATTGATTCGTGTGGACGAAATGTTGCCTTCATTTTCAGGCATCAACTGCACAATTTCGTACAATGGTGCAAACATGTCAGAATATTTGCAAAACAACCAGTCGCCGTTTCATAAAGCACTTGTCGAGACTAGTCCCGGTACTCGTGGATTATACCATGACAACTGAGGATGACGAGTTACGTGAATCATGCATCCAAGTAGGTATTTGTTAATTCTCCTAATGCATTTATTATCTGTTGCGACTATGCTTTCCTTTTCTTCTACTCTGATTCCTGTAGAAGTGCAATTTTTATTACAGTTGAAGAGCAAAAAGAAAAAGAAAAAAAAATTTACAGGCTTTCGAAACGTTTGTTTATCGTTGCCCTCGCGAAATAACGCCATTTATTTCGCATATTGTGGAGGCAGTTGTAAATTATTTAAAACATGATCCTAATTATACCTACGATGATGATGAAGAGATGGATAACATTTCACAGATGGACACCGACGGTAGTTTTTGTTAGAGATCACAGTTAGTTAAAACTAGTAAATTTCCAAATATCAAGCCTATTGGAAGTTAATAAACGATGAAAAAAAAAAAAAAGAATTGCCTATTAATTCATGGGATAATCAGTGGGATTACTGAGATTCTTATCAGTATGCTTTTACAAATTCCTTTCTGAGCACTTTACCATGCCGTGGGTATGATTAGTGAATATTATTTAACTAGATCAAAATTAAATGTTTTTCGGGAGCTTTATGGCACTCAGGAATATGGCACACTTGTAGACGTGATAATTAAGCGATTTGAATTGTACAAATTGAATCAGCTAGTATTGTGGGCCTTTTTATCGACTGCTTGTGGGCCATCCAGTGAGCAGGGTGCAGCAACATGAACACTGCTCTTATTTAATAATTACAAAGTAATAATCGAGCGTTTCGGCATAAGCTTCATTCATGCATTTTGACATTGCAGTACTTGTTTATGGTAATTTACAAAAAGATTTTCTGTGCTGCAATGGTATTTGCTTATATGAAACAATGGCGTATATGTTCCTGAAATGGAACTGAAATGAATTTTAATATTGACCAGTTAATTCCAATCACCACTCGAAAGTTGCAGGTGATAGTGACGATGATGATGACGAAGGAAACGAGTACTCGGATGACGATGATATGAGCTGGAAAGTGCGCCGAGCATGCGCTAAATGCATTGAAGCTCTTGTATGTTCATGAATGAATTGTTATTTTTCTATAAGTTAAAAAAATGCTTGATGTGCTGGATGCACTATCGGAATGCAACGAAAAAAGCTATGTCTTTTCTTAAATCAAAAGATTCACGTGATTAACTGCCGGATTTCTTTTAAGCATCTTTTTTAGCTCACTGGGTTGCTCGGTAGTGGACTCTCTGGTTACAGTGGGCTGTTTTTTGTACAACTAATCATGATAAGAATAAAATGCTTTCATTTTGTCTGAAGTTCGCAGATGGGGCAAAATGGTGGCTTTTCTGGCTCGCTTATTTCTGCAATACTCTTGATTGGGTTTTGCTAAGCGAATTATTTACACATAATGTTGAATCGAACCGTTTATAGATTTTGTCGCGCCGTGACGAGATTGTAAAATATCTGACTTCATTTGGTCCTCTATTAATTAGTCGATTCAAGGAACGCGAGGATAACGTGAAATGGGATATAATGCATGCTTATACGGCACTGTTATCGCAGATTCGCAATTTGATTCCAAACTTTTCAGCCATTTGTGTCGTAAGTTCATTTTGAGCTCATAAAATTTGTTAGAGAGGCGCAAATTTTATGCGAGCATAATCTCAGATCATTTAAAAACTGAGCACACTTCAGAAGGAATTAATGCGTAGGAATCAGACTTCTGATAATTTGATTCCTATTACATTATTCCAATTGCAATTTTAGCCAGAGGAAAATGGCGATACAAAGAAAAATGCATGTGGTGATGTGGAAACAATTACTGTCAAAGGTGGTGTATTGCTGCGAAATGCTTTAAGCATGGAACAACTTGAGACATTACAAGTTTGCACTTTCCTTTATTTTGCAATAAAAAACTATTTTTAATTGTTTACCAGTGATTGGATTTCAACTAACAAGTACCTAAACACCATTGGGGCATTTGAGTATATGAACGCAAAAGAAAGTCTTTCATTACTATTACTTTGATATACTGTAATACATTGAAACGCAGAAAGTTGCCAAATGTATGCTAATAATTGACTTTCTGTTAAATGGCAACTGCTTGACCTAACGATGTAGTATATTTCAAGTTGTTGTATCTTCATCTTATAAGTTTTTTAATAGCGCGAATGGACCTGGAGTAGCTGTCCACTTGCACAGTCGCAATAATTTTCTGATTTCTCATTTTAGGCTTTGGATTCACAGATTCCTTTACTTGTCAAAGCAATCAGTAGATTGTTAAACACGAAGGCACTTAAGACAAAACAGTATTGTTTCGTTTTACTTACGCATCTGTTACGGTTTGTTTCTTTATTGATTTATCCATTCAATTTTTGCATCCATCAGTAGAATTCTGTTTCATTTGATATGGGATTGTTGTAATTTTTCGATCATTTTGCTTATTCGGTAAACATTTGTTATTCATCTGCTATATTTTCTAAGAGCATATCCTGGTGCACTTGGTGACGAAATACTTCATCTTACGGCTGGAGTATCAAGTGCAATGAATGATCGTTCCTTGAACACAAATGTCAAAATTGACACGCTCACCTTCCTGTCGGGAGCACTATGCACTCATTCACCAGAGGTAACATGGAAATACTTCATATTTTCTGTATTTATCATTTTTGAATAATACTATTATATCCTCTTATTTAAACATTTCTTTTCTATTTTTTCAAATACTGAAAGAATTGATGAGCAAACAAAATTAGCAAATACAAATGAAAATATGCTGTTCTAAATAGTCTTGAAAAAAAATTCTTTTTCCGTTGTTTTTATTTTCTTTTTTATATTCTTACTTTTCAGAAATTACATGCGTATATGGATATGTTGGTACCACTTATTGTACGGGCTGTCAGTGAACAATTTTACAAAGTAGCAGCAGAAGCATTAACGGTTACAACGTCCCTGATTCGTGTCTTGCGTCCAGTAGCATCCGAACAAGGCAGTTTCGATTATTCTCCATATGTGGGTAGTATTTATGAAGCAATCATTGGCAAATTGAAGGCTACCGATATAGATCAGGTTTGAGAATCCTTACATTTATATTAAAAACCTTATGAGTTAAATTCCATAATAATATTAAGCCAAGATTCAATAGCGACGTAAATCAAGATCGAAGTGATGCATAGCGATCAGCATTACTTTGTGTGCTTTAACTGAATATATGACATATGTGCTGTTAGGATTATTCGTGGTGTTGGGATTTTCAGTCTTTCGGTCTATCAAAATGTTCACCGCATATAATGACTAATCCCATCATTCATCTTCCATCATTCATCTACCCATCACTCATCTTGTTCATTTTTTTCCAGGAAGTAAAAGAAAAAGCAATAACGGCAGCCGGCCTTCTTGTGGCAACTTTTGGTGATTTTCTGAAGGACAAGGTAGGAAGTAAACTAATGTTAAGTTTTTTCAATTATGCAGTATTTCTGCTGTTAAATATCATATAACAATAGCAGTTTTAGGGAGTCGTTTCTTAATGTCAAATTTTTTGAATTGCATATTTTGTGCTCTGGAGTGTTTTTCAAATGGTTGGATAGGATTTTTTAGCTACCAACGTGTTTGCCGATATTTCTGGATCGTTTGCGGAATGAAATGACACGTCTTGTTACGGTAAAGGCGCTTACGGTAATTGTGAACAGCCCTCTGTCAATTCCACTGAATTCTATTTTGTCAGATATTTTGTTATTGTTAGCTGAATATTTGCGGAAGAACCACAGAACTTTGAAGGTAATTTAGCTTTTCTTGTTCTTAAAGCTATATAACTTAGATGCAACAGAATGCACTGTAATCTCAAGTATCTGTAATTACAGACTATTTTTTCCATTTTCCCATTGTTCATTTCAAAGTTTTCTGTCTTTCTTTAAATTTTTTGTGGCACCAGTAATAACTGGTGCGCAAAAAATTATTAGCCACCAATAATAATAGAGAATCTTTGTGAATTATATTCACTTATTCCCATTATTAGAGCTTACTAACATGAATTGTAGATCTCCACGCTAAATTTACTGGATTCTTTGGTAACAAACTACAAGTATGATGGCTTAGATGGTAGTGAAATGATGAGAGTATTACAAGAAACACCTGCTTTGATCTCTGAATTGGATCTACAAATTAGCCAGCTTACTCTTACTTTCCTTAGTCGTGAGTTTTAGTTATTATGAAAGATTAATTGCCATTATTGTCTATGAAAATTGTTCTTTTAAGATGTAATTGCTTAGCAAAGTGGATTTGCTCTTTACTACGCCACAACGAAAAAACTTGTCTTTTGGACAAAAAATTTATCATGTCTGATTTTTTATATTGCTACATCATTTGATCACCAGTAATTGTCCCTCCAAGTTTCTTAGCATGAGAAGGATTCCTGGGAAATCACAATGTATTTTGAATGCACATTGTAGACATCATATTTGCTTGTTTTGATTGAAAATTTTCTTTACAGAAGTTAATAAATTGCAAAGTTTTTTCAGATCTAGTAGTTGCTCAGCCGTTAATCATATCTTATAGTTTACCAGAGGTGCTTGCGGCTTACGTCAATCTCCTGCAAAGTTCTCTACTTCAGGGTGCTACCCTGGCAGCCTCCTTGAATTTTATTCTAACGCTGGTTCAAGCAGAAATACCTCAGAAACCATCTTTCGAGGTATTTTAACAATTTAAATTGGGAATGGAGTTAGAAAATTTCCTAACGTCGCAGCTTGCAAGATATTTG